TTTACTGTGTACTTTTATTGTGATTTCAATTTTTATTTTACGAAATCACACTTTGTACTGTAAGTTACGATGAGAAAAATGTATTCTGAAATATTATAACATATGTTCGAAATGCATGATGCTAACATTAATACATCCAGAGATCTAGATTAAACATCTAATCTAGGTTGCTATCTTCGTCAAGCGAGAATTTAACATGTATACATGCTACATGTATAGTATACACCACTATTTTTTAATAATCAAAAACAGTGTAATGCCTACACAGAAGACACACAAGAAATCCAATCTCCAAAAAATACACGAAAGGAGCCAACCATTGGACAAAATATTCATTAAGTTTTCAATGAATTCACGTCCACCCATACAAAAGGGTCTCATAAAAATCCTTTTGGTTCGTGTGCCGCCATCATGACGGTCTTCAATCCCAAGCCAAACTCGAAAAATCTATCATGATTACATCTGAATGACAAGCTTTATATTGCCTGTTAATTTCATATTTGATGATTAAAGATTAGTGGTGTATTTAATGTACTAGTTATAATACTACATTAATTGTTGAGAAGGTTCAATATCTGTATAGAGTCAAGCTATTCCTAAATTGAACTACATTTTCGGATCTATAGTGCCCTTGTTCGACTTTGAAATGCCTGAAACAGTCATAAGTTTTATCGGTTGCCTTCTTCGTGTATCTTATTTGGACCTGAAAACATCTACCAGCTTAGTCTTTCTAAAAATGTGTAAAATATTTGGCTTTTTCATCATTTGGTGAACAACTTACATATGAGAAGCTAGACAGAAACAAATTAGCGTGCAATAAACCATGTAAATTATTGAAAGCATGCAAAAATTTTGAAATGTTAAAAACTCTTTTTTTTTTTATTGTAAAAAAATACCGAGTTCGTAACCTTGAACGCAGGGACATTATCTCTTATGCCTTATGCCAAAGAAAACAGCTTTGAAGACAGCCAATTTTCATTATATTGTCAGTCTTAATTTATATTATGTTCGTGACATGGAGTGCGTTCAAGAGTGGTCCCTGTTGTCAATCCGTTAGCAATATTGACAACTTGACGCTAACGTTCACACCACCTTTTCTTTAGAAGCGCTTCCTTCTGTTTGCTTAGTGCGAGTTTTTTAACGTTCTCGATAGCGTAAAAGTTAACACAATTTTGTATGCAGTTGGAACAGCGCCCCTAAAGGCAAACTTAGGCAAACGATCCCATTCCATACAAATATGAGCTAACTTTTACGCTATCGAGAACGTAAAGAAAACTCACACTAAGCCTACAGGTCTCTGAGAGTTTTGAAATTAATATCGGTTTTAATAATAGCAACAATACGTGTACTACTTATAAATTTTTTTTTTTTCAAGTAACTATTTTTTCGTGTTAATTGTCTGACCTGGGTTGTGTAGCAAAAAGTAAACAAATAAAACTTTAGTTTGGTTCCGGTACTACATCGAGAAACAAATATATATATTATATATTATTTTCTATCTATGCTGATAGCCTTGACAGGGTATATCAGCGTTACTCTAGTGTTTAGGTGAGCTCTCAGGGCTCTAACCGGAGGTGTTGCTAACACTGGCCCTAGGAAAAGCAGTGCTTCGCAGAATCTACCACCGGATCGGAAACGCGACTCACTGACGAGATCTGTCGAGAAACTTGATGGGCGGTGTCTGTGGGTTAATTTACTTCGTCGCAAGCGAACTTTTCGGCGAGGACGGTGACCGGTGCTTGTGGTACCTAAAAGCACAGTTAATGGATCGGGAGGATCCGTAATGGCGATTTTTAGAGCATGTGGGGTCAATTTTGTGCCACTGTAGTTTTCACATTGGGTTACATACCCCTTGTTTTTGTAGAATGGCAGCAAATAGCTTTTGCGCCACGATTTTGGGGTTTCCGTGGTTACAAGATAGTATTAAACAGTTTAGTTAGCCAGTTAACCGCCATGGGACTGAGTCCATAAATCAGCTAGTATCTCGTCTAGCCCTGCAGCTTTTGGGTTCTTCATGCTAGCTAATGCAAGTTTCACTTCATGCGAATCTATTTCCGTTAGTGGTTCGCAGACAGGTTCAAGGGGGGCAGGATCTTCGTGCGGGTGTACTTCATTTAGTAAGTGTTCATAGTATTCTTGCTAACGGCCTAATTTGGATATTATCCATTAGCAAGTCTTGCTAGTAATATCCAATATTGCATAATAAAAATATAAATAAAAAAATGTTCTAAGATCCTATATGCTAGTATAGTAAAGTATGTGTGACTGGCTTAAAATTAGNGATCTTCGTGCGGGTGTACTTCATTTAGTAAGTGTTCATAGTATTCTTGCTAACGGCCTAATTTGGATATTATCCATTAGCAAGTCTTGCTAGTAATATCCAATATTGCATAATAAAAATATAAATAAAAAAATGTTCTAAGATCCTATATGCTAGTATAGTAAAGTATGTGTGACTGGCTTAAAATTAGATTAAAGCAGAATATTTTTTTCCGCAACATTTTATACATCATGAAATTAAAGTCACTAAATGTTACCTACGTTGTATAGATAGCTTTTCATGCGAACTCAATACGAAATTGCATAAACGAATTAAAAAAAAAAGAAATTTCCGTGAAATGTATTACAGTGCTGTAAATTATAGGTAATGGGAAACAGTAAGCCATAATAGAATCTAAGAGCAACCTGACAAGAGCTCGAACGGTCACAAAAGTAGATTAAAGAAGACTAGATAAAATTCAAAGTTGGCCAACCGCACTTCAAATTTGAATTTGAATTTGCAAAAATACACTACAAATTGTGTAAATCACTCAAAGTGAGGTTCGCCTTTAGATTAATTTATTCGTACGAATAGTACGTAATACTAAATGCTGAATTTACTTACACTTCACGAGCATCAGTGTCAGCCACATAGGGTGAGCTCGGTACGATAACCCTAGTTGCGTGTATATAGCCCCCAATATGAACAGGAGACTGCTCATCGCACGAGCCGCTAAATCAATGAAAATACAAAATTTAGGTTATTTAAATCTTGAATAGGAAATGACATACGAAGGAGGTTGATCTGCCCTGGGTAGTTGGCTTTAACAATTGGGCTTTCTTAAGGTCTCTTTCGATGTTTGACTACCAGGTCGATGGCGGGCGGTCTCTAACTCTTTTTCTCTGGAACGCTTAATGCAATTTTCAATACATGGCCTTCGTCCCGTCTCATGATATGGCCATACCACTTAAGGCGATTTTCCGTCATTTTGTCTGTGATTGATGCGTCTTTAAAGCTCCCACGTATGTATTCATTCCGAACTCTGTCCATCCTGGTCACCCCGCCCGCCCAGTGCAACATCTTCTTTTCGTTAACATGTGCCATCTGTTCATGCGTTTTCTTGACTGTCCAGCATTCGGAACCGTGCAGTAAGGCTGACCTGACGGCTGTCTTGTATACTTTACTCTTTGTTTTTATGTGCATACAGAGCTCCTGTCAGCGACCGCCATTTCTGCCACGCTACATTTACACGGTGCGCAAAATCGGCCTCCACATTGGCATCTGGCGTGAGCATAGATCTCTGACATTTAAACTTGTTCAAAGTGGGGATAGGTGTTGATCCAATACATATGGTTTCAGGAGTTGCATTTCCACTAAAGGGGCATTTCATGTACTCCGTCTTATTTCTGCTCACCCGAAGTCCGTTCTTCTCTAAAGGGTGTGTCTACGTATTTAAATTTTCTTGCAGGTCTTTTACAGTATTTGTCGCCAGTACTATATCGTCGGCATACAGTATGGTTCACGGTAAAGGTGCTGGAACATGGTTTGTTAGATAGTCCATTATTAGGTTAAATAAAAAAGAGCTTAAAGCCGATCCCTGATGGACCTTGACCTTGACCGCGTTACTTAATCCTGCTGGTGTTTTGACTTGTGTACTAATGCCGCTGTAGATATCTTGAATTATTAATATATATCCGGTAATTTTTGCGCTCTAAAGGCCTGCCACACGAGTTTGCGGGGCACTCTGTCAAAGACCTTTTTGAGGTCGATAAAGGCAAGATGTAAATCTGTTCTGTTTATTCTGTGTTTTTCCATCAGGATTCTGACTGTCTGAATAGCATCAGTGGTTGACCTAGGCGATGTAAAGCCAAAATGGTTTTGGGATACATTTGTAATAGAAGACCGGCGCCTTATTTATGATCCACTCCCTGATTTTTAGAGCGTGTGGGGTCAATTTTGTGCCACTGTAGTTTTCACATTGGGCTACATACCCCTTGTTTTTGTAGAATGGCAGTAAATAGCTTTTGCGACACGATTTTGGGGTTTCCGTGGTTACTAAGATAGTATTAGGTAAACAGTTTAGTTAGCCAGTTAACCGCCATGGGACTGAGTCGTTTCCATAGATCAGCTGGTATCTCGTCTGGCTCTGCAGCTTTTCGGTTCTTCATGCTAGCCAATGCAAGTTTCACTTCATGCGAATCTATTTCCGGTAATGGTTCGCAAACAGGTTCAAGGGGGGCAGGATCTTCGTGCGGGTGTACTTCATTTAGTAAGTGTTCATAGTATTCTTGCTAACGGCCTAATTTGGATATTATCCATTAGCAAGTCTTGCTAGTAATATCCAATATTGCATAATAAAAATATAAATAAAAAAATGTTCTAAGATCCTATATGCTAGTATAGTAAAGTATGTGTGACTGGCTTAAAATTAGATTAAAGCAAAATATTTTTTCCCGCAACATTTTATACATCATGAAATTAAAGTCACTAAATGTTACCTACGTTGTATAGATAGCTTTTCATACGAACTCAATACGAAATTGCATAAACTAATCAAAAAAAAAGAAATTTCCGTGAAATGTATTACAGTGCTGTAAATTATAGGTAATGGGAAACAGTAAGCCATAATCGAATCTAAGAGCAACCTGACAAGAGCTCGAACGGTCACAAAAGTAGATTAAAGAAGACTAGATAAAATTCAAAGTTGGCCAACCGCACTTCAAATTTGAATTTGAATTTGAAAAAATACACTACAAATTGTGTAAATCACTCAAAGTGAGGTTCGCCTTTAAATTAGTTTATTCGTACGAATAGTACGTAATAGTAAATGCTGAATTTACTTACACTTCACGAGCATCAGTGTCAGCCACATAGGGTGAGCTCGGTACGATAGCCCTAGTTGCGTATATACACCTCTCAATATGAATAGGAGGCTGCTCATCGCACGAGCCGCTAAATCAATGAAAATACAAAATTTAGGTTATTTAAATCTTGAATAGGAAATGACATACCAAGGAGTAATTCTACGAAACTAGACCTTAAGAAAATATGCCTTTAAATTATAATATATTTTAATAATTGTATGTTCACTTCATTATTGAACCAATAACATCGCTTCTAATATTAATATACATACGTACTCACGCGTTCCTTACGATTGGAAAACTTTGGAATTCCGTAATATGCATTAAATTGGATAACTCCTACCTTAATCGCCACGTTGGTTTAGTTGTTGGTCACCCTGACTACTTTACCGCGGTATTCTGATTAGATCGGTCGGAGTCTTTTTATATCATACTTTGCAATCTCTGGTATACTTGCTCGATATCAGTGTCCGAAACCCAAGACGGAATTTTATCTTGGATGCCGTAAATGTGTAATATTTTTTTAACTTAACCTATATCAATGTAAGTTAGAAATACGTATAAATCGTGCAAGTATAATGTTTAATCATGAAATTATTTAAAATCTTTGATGTTATCTTTTTGACAAAAAATATCCGAACTTACCGCGTCAAGCTGCAGGTATCGAATATCCCCATCTCTGGTGGCGAGCATCGTCGCCTGTAAACCCAGGGGCTTACCGCACCCAGTTCGGCCATTTCAAGAGTATCAGCGTAGCACGAGAAGGGCCTATCATAAATGGTAATTAACATACAATCATAACGTTTCGAACAGTTGATTTAGCTTATTTCCGCTGATATAAACATTCAAATATCGGTAGCTTACCTCATAACGCTACCTATAAACTAGAGAATAGAATAATTCGCCTGATTTAGTTCATAGTATAATTCTAGTTTAGGTTTTCCACAAAATACTGATGGATCCAATTAGTTAAACTGTTGCAATCACATGGTTTAATACAAGGGACTGCACAGGTAATAAATAGGTGGATCATTATTCCTGCTATAAAACCATTGTACGTTCCGATCTGCATATAAACTATTAATACAATGAAATTCAGACTTCCATTTCAAGACTTGAATTGATTTCGGTGACGCGTCACTCGGGACGTAGGTCATCGACTCTTCTGCGCATACACAACTGCACATCCATAAATATGAAGGAAAACTACACACGGATTCATAAATAATGTATTCAAAACAAACTTACTCCTTAGTGACGGCCTCATCGTCGTCATCAAACGGAATCCTTACGGCCCTCTTCGGGGCCGACACGATATGCCGACGGGGAATTAGCGGAGTGGATTGTTTGAGCTCCTGCAATTCCATCTGTCTACGAACCACAGCAGGACATGGCGATTGTAGTGGAGTAGGCAATTGGGAATTGCTCACCATGTGCAATTCGAGACGACGCGCGCGGGCCGTGCTGTCGTAATAATAAACAATTTAGTCAAATGGACTTCGCCGCTTAAACGAAGCGATTGATGTTATAAAAATATATATATATATATATATATATGTCGTGGATAACGACTTTTAGTAATATTAAGACGGTGGTTTTGATTATTATTTTAAATGATGAAATGTTATTTTGATAAATATCACAAAATGAAGGGTAGACTCCGTAACGCCACAGTATAAAATGGCGGTACGTGGACAGAGTCGTGGCAATTCCGTGTCAGACAGTAATTCTGTCCGTCTCAGTGAGTGAGTCTCTGTCAGTCAGTCAGTCGGTCTGTCGGTATGTGCAACGAAACTGTCGGTTTACCCTGTCATTGTGAAAGTTGTGTGTGTTGAGTTTCAATAATTATTATTGAAAAATTTTATTGACTAAACTGAGTTCAATAGACTACTGAGCTCAGCCATCCCTGACGTGAGCCGACATCAGAAGTGAGATCAGGACTCTACTCTCACTGGCGTGACGTGTTTGAACATGTTCGAAGTACAGCAAAAAAAACAACATGATGCAGATCAGAATACTAGTAGTGGTACGCCACAAGAGCGTGAATGCAGCATACGTAAGTCGTGTAATAACGTCTCTGTTACCTCGATGGAAGATCTGAGCCACGAAGAAATCGTCACATCTTACGTTCTGGCTCATGTTGCCCAGTTTGACTGTCGACTTCATCACATGGCATTTACTAGCGGAAATACAACACGTAACAAGCTATTGCAAGAAATTAAGGCAAGTGCAAATCTCAATGACGAGTGGGTAGTTCCGACAAGAGTTATTTTAAGCGGCTGACTTCTGCTAGAGTTACATGGCACTAGTGCAGTAAACCAGGACATGAGACTGTGAATTGTCGCTGAAATTTTAGAATATACTAGATTCAATACCAATAACACTACACGTTCGATGACTTCGGGCTCCAGCAAGCAAGCAAACAAGAAAGCAAGCAAGTTTCCGTGGGGAAGAAAAATTGACACATCTGAAGTCGTCGTGACCTGTAAGATAAGACGTCCGGTGCGTTCGTGTCTGGCGATGCGGCGGCGTTCGGGTTCCGCTGGTGGATGCAGGTTTTTCCGGTGAAGTGCGTGCTTGTGCGTGCTTGACAAGTGTTCGCGGTTGGCTTCCTCAGTGTGGGAGTAACATCGTGTAAGAGAGGTGGAACCCGTAAAATTGTAGTTTGCGTGGTGGCTGGTAAGATTTGTTGCGGTAAGAAGTTTGCATGGTGGTAAAATCTTGTGAGTGTGCACAGGTAGCCGGAGGTGAGACTTCCGCGGTCGCGGCCCACCCAGTCCGCGAGAACCGGGCAGATCGCCTCGACGGTACGGAGGCCGGCCGACGGGTCCGCCAAACGACGAGACCACGCCTCCAGCACGGACTGCCGAGATTGGAGCCTCCGCGCTCCGGCTGCACTTGCGCTAGGGCGCGCCGCCTCGTAGGAGACTGTGAGGTATCCTTCAATGACTGACTGCGATGCCGCAGCACGGCGACGTTCTCGTGGGTAAGAGCGTGGCACCAGACGGGTGCTCCGTATAGTGCCGTCGACCGCACGGGTACCATCACCCTGCCTATTTCTGCCGTGAAGCAGTGGTGCATTTCGGTTTGAAGGGTGGGACAGCGGTAAGTAACTATACTGAGACCTTAGAACTTCTATCTCAAGGTGTGTGGTGCGTTTACGCTGTGGATGTCTATGGGTTCCAGTAACCACTTAACACAAGGTGGGCTGTGAGCTCGTCCACACATTAATACGAAGAGCGTAATCAAACGAAATTAGATACGAAGTTTAAAGGGCCGTTTAAAGTAGTTGAAGTATTGGATTGGTGACCGTTACACATTGAAAGCTTT